TATTGTTCTAATGTAGAAAACCCAGGGACATACAGCAGTGCACTAACCATAGGCGAATAGTCACTAAATTATACAAGAGTCCCATCTCGATTTTATTTTTAAATATTTTTGAGAATACCTATTATTATTTGTTACATTGAGTTTAATAAAACCACAGTTTTCGAATGTATTGAAAGTTATTTAAAAAGTACCTCTATAAATATATAGAAAATGTGTATATGACTAACTGGTTTTATTAATCTTTTTTTGGGGTAGGTAAATATATATTTTGAAAAATTTACAATCTTCTTTTGAATAAAAGACAAAATATTTCTGTTTTTATTAACTGAACAATATTTTATACAAACATAATATATACCTATTTAAAAGAAAATATTACATTTTACAAGAATCGCATATTTATATGAAATAACTTACTCAATAAGAAAGAATTAAATGAAACAAATTAATAAACAATGGATATGAAAAATTGCTTTAACAATTTAATCCTTAGATAAACTTATTCTTACATATTGCTTTAATCAATTTATTTACTATAAAAGTATATTTCCTATCATTTATTACATGTAATAAAATAAAGCATAAAACATACAAACTATAATATGTACCTACTTAGAACGGAACTAATATTATTGTATCAAGGTAGTAATAGTGGACATTTTCCGAATAAAAAAAAGAAAAAAAGAAGTAACGGTCGACACGTTTTTCTGACTATAGGTCTTCATCAGTACGGAGCAGCCAAGTTCAAAGGATCATGGCACGTGTGTTGGAAAAATTGTACAATAGGTCACTAACAAGGAGCCAATAACACATTTTCCGTTTCAGCTAGTATCCCCAAATTTTCTGGGCTTATAGGTACTAAAGTCACAAAATGATTCAATGGTCTTCCTATGGCTATCATTTATTCTTTCCTAAAATTTTTTGGTATGCTACAACAAAACACAAATTATTTGATTTTGAAAATATACAAATATTTTTGAAAACTTACACATAAAATGTTATTCCTTCCTTGTATCTTCTACCGTTGGATGCATTGTTACATTCACGTACAAAACAACAAGAGATTTTGAAAATCCTGTAAAAATTTAACACCAAACCACAAATGTTTTTTATTAAAATAAAACACTAAACGACTAAACTAAAAAATAATGTTTTAAATAAAACCTTTACTAGAAGAACAAAATAAACAATACAACAGATAATAAAATCGATTATATACGTCGAACGCCGATCTTACGCTTATTACTAAACTTGTGCCGATTCTGTCTTGTCAGAAGTGCCAACTTAAAATTTATTGACATTTATTTATCATGGCGCCCATCATATGGGGGGTCAAAATGTTTTTACGATGCAGTATCTAGACCTTCTGAGGGCTATGGGTCTCACCTTTAACAGCAAGTTAACATGGAACTCGCATTTATAAAACAGAGTTAAAAGAGCATACATTGCTTATGAACAATGCCGTCGAACCGTGGGGCGCACCTGGGGTTTCTCCCCCAGAGTCGTCGCATGGACTTACACTGCTATTATAAGACCTATGCTAAAAAATTGACAGCTATCCGTAAACTAGAACAAATTCAAAAAACAGCATGTCTCAACATAACAGGAGCCATGAAAACAACACCGACCAGGGCCATGTAAGTCATTCTTAGTCTCACTCCCCTTGATATTTACATCAAGGAGGTTGATCTGACAACAATGACACGCCTCTGCACGGTTGGAATAGAACCTGATGTAGGATCTGGTTAGGCGAGACGTGGCTTTTGACAGGAGGCACTAAATGCGCTTCCACTGCTTCAAGCGAACATGGACACCATCTCACCGAGATATATCTTCCATAAGCCATATAAAGTTGTAACAGAACAAATAGAAGAGCCGGAAGTGGCAGGTATGATTCATATCTACACCGACGGTTCTAATACAAAACAAGGTTCAGGATGTGGAATATACTCCAGATCCTTAAACCTTGACATAAAATGGGCTGTGAGCAATAGTGCCAGTGTAGTTGAAACAGAGCTCACGGGGATTCTCATAGAAGCAAAAGAAATTACCAGAAACAACATCAATGGAAGGAACATGCTCTTCTGTACAGATAGCAGACAAGCACTACTCACCCTGAACAGTCCACGAATTTATTCAGGTTTAGTACTAGAATGTCATGAAGTTTTGGCTTTTGACCAAAGTATCCAAACGTAGTCACATTAAGATGGATCAAAGGTCACGCCACTTCTAACGGTAACCGTCTTGATGATTCACTGGCCAAGAAGGCAGCCAACCAAGTACTTTTTGGACCTGGCCCTTTTATGGGTCTGACAAAATCGGTAGTGACAGACCTAATTAAAGAACATTCCTTTGTGAAATTCAAGGAAAAAAGCGATGAAAGAAGAAACTGCAGAGTTGCCAGGGAGCTTTTAAGTTATCCTGATAACACTGCAGCAAACAAATACTTGACTATGACTAGGCAGAATCTGCGCCTAATCACAGGCATTCTGACTGGTCATTGCCAAGTAGGGAAGCATCTCCATATAAGAGAAGCACCTCTTAGCGAAGTTGTCAACTACATTAAATCTGTAGGCTGGCTCACGAGCTAGAAGGTGCATATCGTCTTGGGAGGATGCACAATGGGCCTAGTGAGGCCTAAGTGCCGTCGGGGTAATCCACCCTCCATACCTTACAGACACAGATGTGTAGTAGTGAACATTCAGCTACTCGTTATTCTACGTCCTGGGTGAACAGCTGATAGAAAAATAATTAAATAGGTATAGAAAAGTTTACAAAATTAAAAAATTGAATAACTTCAAAAATTAAATAAATATTTACTTAAATGTATTGAAATTTAATTATTTTATTTACCTTAGAAACGACACATGTCAGACGAAGAGGGCGAAGGAAAATGGGTTGATTATGTGTAGAAGTGACTCAAGGCTCAACTTTCGTTTAGCCGAAATCTGTTATACAACAACTGTTGTCATAATAATAATTGTGATGACTGAGTAAACAAAAACCCTAATCTTATGGTGAGGAAATGCGTAGTTGCCAAGTTGTAGATGATTACGGTTTTTCTTTAATTTCATTTAACTGAAATAAGTTATGCAAAAAATATTGCCATGGCCACGCTTGTCATGTTACCGACTAAACAAAAACTCAAATCTCGTGGTGGGAAAATGCGTAGTTGCCAAGTTATAGATCATTTAATGTTCACTTTAGTTTAGCCGAAATCAGTTACGGAAAAACTGTTTTCATGGAAACGTTTGTCATGCTAAGGACTAAACAAAAATCCAAATCCGGCAGTGAGGAAATGCGTAGTTGCCAAGTTATAGATTATTTAATGTTCACTTGAGTTTAGCCGAAATCAGTTATGAAGAAACTGTTGCCATGGAAACGATTATTATGCTAACGACTAAACAAAAACCCAAATCTCGTGGTGAGGAAATGCGTAGTTGCCAAGTAGTGGTTAGTAGGTATGTGGAACGAGCGTAGAGTGATCTTACGTTGTAGATGGAAAAAGGGCGCGCCCAGCCGACGTTTCGAAATTCGCGCGCGCGAATTTCGAAACGTCGGCCGGGCACGCTCGCTTTCCTCTGTAGTAGTTATGAGGTGGGTGGGAGGAGCGTAGCGTGATCTTATGATGTAGGTGGAAAAAGGACGCGCCCGGCTGACGTTTCGAAATTCGCGCGCGCGAATTTCGAAACGTCGGCGGGCGCGCTCGCTTCGCTCGCTTTCCTCTGTAGTAGTTAAGTTGTGGGTAGGAGGAGCGTAGCGTGATCTTATAGAGAAACTGTTGCCATGGAAACGCTTGTCATGCTAACGACTAAACAAATCCCGTAGTGAGAAAATGCCTAGTTACCAAGTTATAGATGGCTTCATTTTCACTTTAGTTTAGATTAGGATATTGTGTTAAGAGTTAAGAATTTAAGTGTTAAGAATCTAAATCTAAGAAGCAACTACGCATTTCCTCACCACTAGATTTAGGTTTTTGTTTAGTCGACATCACAACATCTCCATAACCGATTTCAGCTAAACTAAAGTGAAAATTAAATGACCTGTAACTTGCCAACTATGCATTTTCTTACCACAGGATTTGGGTTTTTGTTTAGTCGTTACCATGACAGGTGTCTCTATGGCAACAGTTTCTCCGTAACTGATTACAGCTAAATTAAATCATCTGTAACTTGGCAACCACGCATTTCCTCACCCTGGGATTTGGCTTTTTGTTTAGTCGTTACTATGTCAAGCGTTTCCATGGCAACAGTTTTACCATAACTCATTTCGTCTAAACTAAAGTGAACATTAAATAATCTATAACTTGGCAACTATGCATTTCCTCACCACGAGATTTGGGTTTTTGTTTACTGGTTACCATGACAACGGTTGCCATGGGAACAATTTTTACGTAACTGATTTCGGCTAAACGAAAGTTGACCCGTGACTCAACCAGCCATAATTCCACCTCTCTACCCTCTGCATCTTTGAGTTATTGCCAATGGAAAGAATGATTATTTATTGAAATTTGAAAATAAAAAAAACTTGAAAATTGAAAACTGTTAAATTTAATGTATTGAAAAATTGCATTATTTGTATATTAAATCTTACTCGAATATTATTATTATTACCTAATAAATAATATATTTTTAATGAGAAATATAAATCAATTTTTCTTAATAATATTAATTTTTTAAAATTTTCTAATTAAAAATATATCTTATTTTTAAATACATATAAATAGTTCATGAGCGTCATCTCAAATCCTAGCGGGAGCCGATTCGTACACTTTCAAAAATACATGAACAAACCGAAGCCAACTCAAACTTTTAGAATTTATATATAAAGTACGTTAACTGACGCATCAAGCAAAATAAAGACGATACGCCTAATTATATTTGGATGTGAGTTGGATAAAGAAAATAATTGATTTAACCAATCTCTCTATTTAATAGCATTTGTGTACTCCTAGAGTCAGGATTGAAAAGTTAACATATTTTATGTAGATAATTACTTACAGATTGCATATCGACTTTCAAAATATTTTTTAAATAATTAGATATTTCCGTTATCGCTAAGAAATATCCGTAAGATTCTCCACATTGTGCTATAATAAGAGACCAAAAACACATTGAAGAAAAAATTCGCTTCCAGGGAATTGTCGAGCGGTTCTAAAAAAGAAAATATTTTATTGTAAGTTTCATAAAAAAATCCCATTTAAAAAAATATACTGGTACAGAAATATAAACGCGAACCATTTATTTTACAATGAAATGCGTGAAATAAACAAAGGCCGCTGATCAGCACGGGGAACTTGGCGCATCATACATACGACTTCCACCTCACTCTTACTTACGCTCATCTCTAATATATTAATTTGGCTTAGATGGTCCACGTTTTAATTTCCGTAACGGCATATACAGGGTGTTTCAAAAAGGTATGTCTTAAATTCTTCTAAAGATAGATTACCAAAAAATAAGTGGATTTGGCTATATTTACCTATATCAAAAGCTGGCTCCTAACAAAGTTACAGGGCGTTTTTTTTGTAAAAAAATATTTGCCAGTGCTGGAGATTTAAAGGCCCAATATTGTAAGGAGAAAAAAAATTAAAGCGACCGCTTAAAAAAGTTGGGGGGGTTGGGTACCATTTAAGCTTTGACATAAAGAAACTTGCTTTATCGATCTAAAACGGCCTACACACGTAAAGATTTGTCGTACTGCATGCAGTACGATATCCATCGAAACTGCCGCATTAACGATAAATCGTAGCGTGTGTAGGGAAATTGGATGGTTTGCAGTATGCAGTCGTCAAATCGTTTGCAGTAGGGAGCTTCCGTAAAATATCGTATCAACGGGTCGTGTCTGGGGTGGGGTTCGAACGCAAGTCTGAACGTGTGGAGTGTATTCCTGCCGCAGCACGCAGTTACGATATAATTTTTATTTATTTTTGGTTTAATCAATATTATGGATTTAAAAAATAAGACGTTCTGGGAAGACTTTATTGATGTATACAGAGAAAATAGATGCCTATGGGATGTGAAATCAAAAGATTATGCAAATAAAATGAAAAGAAATTACAGTTATGAAATTTTGTTTAAAAAATTTAAGGAATTGTTCCCAGAAGCATCACAAGAAGTGATGAAAAAGAAAATAAACAATATAAGAACATCCTGCTGCTAAATATCTTAGTGTTGCAACCAATCTTTCTTCAGCAGATATTGCGTTTCTCATAATTGTATCTTGCTTCGTAATTTTATTACAAACTAAATCCATCAAACACGTAAAGGCATCAGAATCCATTCTTAAATAGTTTTTAAAATCAAGAGGTTCTTATTTTTTCAGCACTTTTAACAACCTAATATGTGAATATTTCTTTCTCTCCAGCAACCACTTTTTACACCATTTTTGCTTTCTTTTTATTCATCATCTTCATCTATAAGCAATACCGCAGCTACAAGCACGGCAGCTTTCTTCTTTGAAATTCTTGACATAACGGTAGCCCTTCTTGACGAAAACTGAATAAACTGAACTGCTGCAGTACAATGTGTTGCATCGTGTGTACAAAAAATGGCTGTACTGCAAGCCGTACGATTTTCTTTACGATCTGCAGTTCAATGCGCAGTACGATAAATCGTTACGTGTGTAGGGCGTTTTAGGAGGAAAAAAATTAAAGCGACCGCTTAAAAAAGTTGGGGGGTTGCAGTATGCAGTCGTCAAATCGTTTGCAGTAGGGAGCTTCCGTAAAATATAGTATCAACGGGTCGTGTCTGGGGTGAGGTTTGAACGCAAGTCTGAACGTGTGGAGTGTATTCCTGCCGCAGCGCGCAGTTATGATATAATTTTTATTTATTTTTGATTTAATCAATATTATGGATTTAAAAAATAAGACGTTCTGGGAAGACTTTATTGATTTATATAGAGAAAATAGAGGCATATGGGATGTGAAATCAAAAGAATATGCAAATAAAATGAAAAGAAATTCCAGTTATGAAATTTTGTTTAAAAAATTTAAGGAATTGTTCTCAGAAGCATCACAAGAAGTGAGGAAAAAGAAAATAAACAATATTAGAACATCTTTTAGACGCGAACTAAAGAAGGTACGATTATAAATATATGTAATGTATATTAATAATATGCGAGTATCACACATTTTTGTCATTTTATATTTACATAATTCCTAATTGGGATTTACTTATTTACTTACTTATTTTAGGTTGAGGAAGCCTTCTCTTTGGTATTATGATTTATTGCTTTTTACTTGAGAAGAAAGGGAATATCTAACGACGACGACGACGAGACAATGAATATGAACATAGAAACAGATAAGGTAATTAAATAATTATTGTATTAGTATTTTTTTGCACAAATTATTATTATTATTATAATAGCATTTATTTGGATACTATTTTACCATACAATCTTGAAAAGAAACTTTATCAACAGAGTTAAAAAAAATTTATAGGTTTCTCTTATATTTTTTGTAATGACATTAGCATTTGTCGTTTCTGTTTTTTACAAACTGCTCATACCACTACCAGTTTGCTGCCTCCACTGACCTGATATTATGCTTCCATTGGAAAAATCATCACGATCGGCACAGTTTTCAGAAATATAATTACTTTTAGATGTATTTCGCAATAAATTATGCAAAGCACAACATGCTAATATTATAATATCAATTTTATCTGGGCTTATATTAATGAGCTGTAAAAATATTCGAAACCTAGAAGCCAATATTCCAAAAACATTTTCACAACTCTGCGTGCTTGACATAAACGATAATTAAATATTTTTACATCATAAGATATGTTTTTTTTGGGAGTATGGTTTCATTAAGTTTTCCATTAATGGAAATGCTTCATCCCCAAAGAAAACATATGGCACCTTATCATCTGTTCCTGGCAGTTTCGTGGGGCTTGGTATGTTTAGCTTTTTTGCGAATAAGCGCTTATATATTCTTGTTTGTGACCATATTTCTCCATCTGAGACTCGACCATTTTGTAGCTGGTTATATAGTTATTTTGTAACTGCATATCTAACCCTTTTATTTTTTCAGTTGGTTGTAAATATGTGGCTTCATAGAAGAAGTGAGGAACCATCTGTAACATCTATTCAGTGGTATTGGAAAGGCTCTAATTGATCAAAATGCGTAAATATTGATGTACACTTGGCTAGATTGTTAAAGAAACCTCTTCATCCACTACAGGAAAATAAATCAGTACTTTTATATTCTTAGGATTTGTATATATATTTTTTATTTGTAAATAAATTGTTTTTTACTTCATTTTTCTCATTTTTTATTAAAAGATTAATAAATAAAATTTTCACAGATTTTTATATTTTTGTTTGTAAACAATAATTGAAGAGTTTTTATTAAAAATCACCAATGTTAATAATAATAATAATTTAAGTCAATATTATTCTTTCTCCTTTTTTAAAGCTACTATCAATAAAGGTATTACTTTAGCTTGACCTATGATCAATTTTTAAATTTTGTGATATATTTGTTTCAACAGAAAAAAAATTATAACCCTTTGACATTGGTTGTTTTTACTTAGATTTTCATAAAAAATAAACGGAACTGCAAACATGTTTTATTATCGTAATAACGAATAGCAACATTAAATTTTTTTTTCACATTTATCACTGTTGTCATTATCATAAAGGATTGATAAGAAGGCACACTTTCTGGTTTTTTGAAAAAGGTAGCAAGAATTGTGATATTTTTAAATTTATCACCAGTGATACCACATGTAGTTACCCGATTTATTGGAATATATAGACTTTGCTACCACATTCAACTGAACTTGGTTGTTTTTAATATTTATCACTGTGACATAAGCGTTTTTGTCAAAATGTTTCATTTTAAACTGCTGTAAATAGGTGCCTTTTTTTTCTGCTACCTAGAAAAATACACACAAAAACCTCCACAAAAACTATAAATGTAAAATATGTCCCAATATTTATTTACTGTCCGTTTTTTAAACATAATAATATTCTCGAGCGAGATAATCAGTCACTAATTTTTTTTTTTTTTTCAGAATAACTGGTATAATGAAGAAACTGAAGAATCTTTATTGTCCCCTAGTACTGAGTTACAAACTACAAATACTGAGGAAGATTCAGAAGAGACTTCACAAAGCTTATTAAGATCCCGCATAAGAACTACTGCCTCAGTAACACCGAAAATAGTTTCACGGACAGGGGCGGTTTCTCCATTGGTTCATTTGTGCAGTGAACACCCAGTTAAATTTCATAAAAACACATTATTTTAATATTACATAAAAAACATAAAAATATAAATTTAATTTTAATATTTTTAGTTTCATACGTGTTAATCTATATTTTTTGGTACATCATTGTCCTCTGGCTGTTCGCGTCTCTATGGCACAGTATACCTAAGTATACTGTGACTGTGCGCACTATGGTGAGTGAGCCTAACACGAGTGAGACGATATGCCAAAATGCATAAAGCTAAAAAGAGAAGACAACACACATTAATTGGCGCACCGCTCACAAACAAGGTTGCCAAACCAGTGTTGCCAGTCTAGTACAATTCACAATTGTACTAGATGTAGTACATTCTGCGTGCATCAGTGTTCACGTGTAAAATATATATATTGTGTTCCTTGTTTGGGTTCATTATCAATAAAGACCCCCTTTTTTCCCTTTTAATGAATTAGATGTCATTGCAAATAGAATTCGAAAAATCTGATACATTTAAGGAATCTGGTACATTTTTTAGACAAATCTGGTACATAACAAAAACATATTCTGGCAAAACTATATCAAATCAAACAAATTGTCACTGTCATTATTGTCACTCCTCTACTATTAAATACAAAAAAAACGTAAGATTATATTAATATCAAGCTCTATCGGGTCGATGGTGTAGTGGTCTAACGCGCTTATATTCATTTATAGGCAAGTTTATGAGTCCGAAACTGCTGGGCTTCGAATCCCAGACCGGACCATGTGGATTTTTAATTAAATTGCATGGTTCGGTTTAGGATTTGATGTGTGCCGTATTAATAGAAATTCAATTTCTATTGATATGACATGCAAATTATAAAAATCGCCATACATTATCGTCTCGATGATGGTGGGTGAGGTTTTCCGGGTTTTCCTCACCCGTAAGTCAAATGGCACCATCAATCATCCTTAAGTCGCC